TCGCACTTTGCATGATCATAAAGATTGTATGAGGAGTAGGTTTTGTTTCGACTGGGATGCTTCATTTCAATGTGTTATTCATAGCGATCAAAGATCTATCCTCTTGAAGGTCTTGTTTTTTGTCCTTTGAGTGACAGTGTTTTCTGTTCTACAATATACTGTCTCCTTAGTTACATGGTAATTTGCAAACCGAGCCTAGCGGATTGTTATGCTCAGAACTATTTAATGAAACATTAAGTTTCTTAGATATTTTATATAACAAATTTTATAAGTTGCATTTGTGACTTCTCGTGGAAGCTTTTATAATAAGATAGAACTAATTCACTGCTGCGAAGCTGGAGAATATTGTCTATTTATTATTTTATTTTTTATGATTATTACAATTAATGCAATTTCTGTGTTAATGGGTTTGAGATAGATGCTAGTTTTAATACCGGTGACAGAGTTTGTCGTCAGATACATCCGAAGAACATCTTGTACTGTTTTTGAAAGTTTTTTTGGAGAAAAGTAGTGATTTTGGATACACATTCATATTGAAAATTACCGTAACCCCTTGTTTTTCTCTAACAACAAGACGTGTCTGTGAAAATTGGCACAATCTCTGCAGATAAAATTACGATCGAACCGCTGGTAGCAGCTATGTTGCAGAGCTAATATTCCACTGATTGATGTAAGCAGCACAAACTCTCAAAAAATAGGTTTCTGAAACAAATAAATATCGCTTCGTTTAGTAGAATTTTATTAAACCAGTACATGTGAATCCTCGAAATTTTTCAATATTTTTGATTAGGATCTGTGAAGCACAGCAGTCAGTGAGTATACGGTAATACTTCGCTTGTTGTTTAGAAAAAGAATAGCTGTAGTTTAACGGCTGTTGAAAAACATTTTTAAATTTTGTTTGATCTGCGAAAGTATTTTGAAATAATTCGTTTCTCGTGTCTACTCTTGCGTAGCAGAGGAAAATTCATTTGAATTTTAAAATACAAGGAGCGCTTTATCGGAATTAAAATTACAATGTAACATTACATGAGCTCGTAGGATTCGATACCGGACTTTGCGACAGTTGCTGGAAGTCAGGAATTTCAAAGTTGGTTCCGCTAGACCGGTCCATTCAGTCGTCTAAGAACACGCTTGAACTATTCGATGGTCATGTTACTTGGCAAGCAGTTGAGGCAAAAGCTGGAGAGCACAGAGTATTGACCGATTGCCGAATGTTATCGATTTCCCTTTGTGGCGCACCCATAACGAGGACAAATCGGATTCAGGATGAAAATAATTTTTTTTGAACTAGTGACTACGGTGAGTGAAACGTATATCATACGGCACTAGCCAGTAAGTGGAGGGTTGTACAGGCGTTTTTCATGCGAATTTCTCTAAGCATCATCTGCCGAGTCCGATAAGGCCGTTTTTCCATCTTGTAATATTCCACATGTGAAGGAGAACAGAGAGCGGCAAAAATTTTAAAGTTCTTGAAGTTCATTTGAATATCTGATCACATTATCGATGCCACAGTTCACTGCAATCTGACACATATTCTCGCACTGTGATTCAGTCGAAACAGTAGCAGTGCGTGTTATAATTCCCCTACTTTTTCAGTTGAATAAACTCATTGCAGCGTAATATAAATGCGCCGAGCATTGGCCCCCAAATACTGATATTGCCATCATTGATTGAGACGCTACGAACTTGTGTAACAAGGGGCACTACTGAAGAATCGTTTTGATGCTGCTGATGAAGTTTTGCTGTTGGTTCGAAAGCACATTGTGGCATTAAATTTAGAAGGTAGAAGTATTAAGATAAAATGATTGCGCTGTTGAAGAATGTTGAACAACAGCATCGTTTGAAAGAAATGTTGTTTAAATTGTCGTTATCTCTTCACATCTGAAGCTTCTCTGTTCGGTGCTTTTCGATGCGCAGCCCTTACTACTTGAGATGTCCCAGAGCTGCCTTGCGAGTTCAGTTTTATACTCCACATAGGTAGCGCTATATTCTTTAGGCGAATTGAACCGTGTTTTCGTATCGCTGCGTCAGGCATGCTGTCGTGACGCCGGTCAGTTGGGAACCGCATGCCGTGTCCGCATTATGGAACTTATTGAATTGCGCGCAATGGGCTGGGTACCAAATCTGGCGCACTCGCAATACTATTTGAAACGTTCGTCGTCATCGATGCTCTCACGCGATTTCACGGCTGGCGCAGGAGATACGATGTGCAGCGCGGTAGGACCTCTGCCCGAAGTGGATTCGCTGCCAGCGCTGCCTGAATCCGCGCCTCCTTTTGGCGCCGTTTCGCTTGGTTCGTTTGCGTTCAATATGCCGCCGACGCCTCTACCATCTGCGGATTACGGTAGTGTTTGCTTTATGAATGTTTGTCTGGTTGATTCATTACTTGATCATTTCGGCTATAGTGCAGGGTACGCATGCATTCGGCCCGCAGCCTTCCTACTATTTGATTCCAGCTTCACATGTGAGCCACACACAGGCCGGCATCGCGTTCATCTCGCCTGCGGCTGCCGCTGTAATCAACCAACCCCCTCCATTACCACCGAAGGCAGTTCCTGGCGCTAGTACTCCGTCAGGCGCGCCACAGCCAATAAAGGCTGCTCCACCGTCTAAACTTTCTTCAAAGTCATTTCGGTCACCCAGGTACGTCGATCATGTTACATAAGTTGTGCTGAATCCATGGCGCTCGCATTTACGGGCGACAACTTTTCTTTGTGTTGGTTTTAGGACTGCGGGCAAGAATCAGCATCGTGGCGAGATGACTATTCGAAATGCAGATTCAGGAAAAAGTAACTGATTTCACCTTATCAGTAACGATAAATTTTTATTTCAGTAATGGGAATCAAGGGCCGTCGTGTGGCGATCATAGAAGAACTAAGTCAAACAGTCATTTCTTTTCAGAAAGGTTTGACGCACTTGTGCTCTAGTGATACTAGTACAATACCTCGTTTTAGTTGCCGTCGGTGCTAAGGATAGGAGCCTGATTATTAATGGTCCTTCTGAAGAACATATCGCAAAGGCAAAGGCCCTAATAGAAGAAACTATCCGCAGGAACGTGTCGCCGGTGCGAGTAAAGCGTCTTCAATTTGACTGACTTTACAAATGGTTGACTTAACAGTTTAAAACTTTTCAAGAGGACCGTAACCGTAACATGAACACAGATTTGGCATATCATAATCACGAATTTTGCCAGGATGCCATGAGCTTTCGAATCAGCAACGCGGAACATCATCCTGTTCGTTTCAACATCTTTTTTTTCTTCCACCTAAGTTGATTTCTATTGTTTCTGTTCTATGTGTTACCGTAGTATCACTTTTCCTCATAAAATGCATCCAGACTTTCAGCATCAGCACATCTAGGGTTTTTGTGCTCGCTGTAATACTTCTTAAAATTCCTTAAAGCCTCAACAACAAGGGCCAGAATTTCTACCGTCCTTTATTGTGAGCCAAAATCAGGCAATGCCAGATATCGGAGAAGTTCTAATTAATCCTTTTAAACCGTACATAAAGCGCTGAAATGTGCCTGTTGCGATTATCTGGAATCCAGTCTGTTCACCTCCACTTTCGATTACTGATTAAAATCTATTTTGGGTCGAAAATTAGTAAGCGAAGTACAGTAGGTAAGGTGATGGTTGCTTTGAACCATGCGAAAACGGCGGTTCTGCTGCGTTACATAATTTATGACCGTAGATGTTATTAGCTTTAAATTGTGACATTCGCTAAATTTTGTGTGCCAGGTTGCATATAGTTCTGGAAGGAAGCGGAAGCCGTGGAATTCGATCTGGCTGACCTGTTGTTCAAAGGGGGTTGAAGAACTGCAGCATGTTCCGTTCCGTCTCTGTTCGTCTCCCTGGTAGAATCTTAACAGTGTTTGAATAAGAAATATGGAGAACTGAGAAATGAAGGCTTTAGGAAGCTCTGACTTTCTTTCCAGCCGGCGGCAGTATAGTGGTTATGATATTCACATTCTGTCATGTCTATGAAGAATGCTGAAAGAGCATATGCTTGCTTCTTTATACTATTCCACACTACGGGCACCCCATTCTACGTATTATTGCCGCTAATTGAAGCGGCAAACTGTTGATTGACTAATTTTGACACAAACAGCGAACTGTTTTACCACAGTTTCTTAGAAATTAATCTGCAAAACGTTGCGCTGAACCATTGTTAAGGATCTTAGTCACCCTTACTTGCTTTCTATCGTTGAGTATCTGAGGAGCGACGTTTAACAATGGGCGACTATTGTTGTCACATTCACATGTTGCACTTCAATGAAAGGAAGTATTACGCCGCGAAGTTTTATCTTGCCTTGAGTTGGTGTGATCATTTCTACGTTTGCTAAGACAGAGGAAAAATGGAAATGACAGACTGATTATTCGTGATAGTGCAACGAATAAACAGCCATGCCGATTTAATAGTTGAGAACTGTTAAACTGATGTTTCGCTCATTCGTACCGACGCATGAAGAACTATCTGAAAACATTGAAAATTCAATTGTAACTTGTTTCACTAAGGTCGAATACTATTATCAGTGACGTTGGAAGCTACCTTCTTAGCCGCTGAAAAACAACACGCAGTAAGGAAGACTAGATCTTCATCTTCATCTTCCATCGCCGCTTCTCCTTTTGGGTCGCGTAGGCAGACGCGTCAGTCAGAGCTTCCAACCTTTCCGATCCTGTGCCAGAGTCTGAGCTTCGGCAGAAGACAAGTGGAGTCTAGAAGAGACACCTTCCATATATTTACACCAGATTAATTTTGGCCGTCCGCTGGGTCTTCTGCCGGTCGGTTTCGCAAGAAACAGTTGTTTCGCCTTCCTTTCTGGAGGTATTCGCAACACATAGCCAAACCAATGCAGCTGTGACTTCTCAGTCTGGAGAAGCAAAGGTGTATACCAAGGCTCTTCCGGATGACAGTATTCCGGACTAACTCGAGCCGCGTAAGGCCAGCGACTCGTTTAAGAAAGCCCATTTCAGCAGCTTGTACCCGGGTTCGAAGCTTTTCAGTAATGGTCCACGATTTATGACCGTAGGTAAGCATGGGGATTAAGATCGACTTCAACACCGAGAGCTTGGTTTTCAGACTGAGCTCTGCTTTAGTCACAATGGGTCGGGCTAGTTCACACAGAACGCCACTGCCTACTCCAGTTCGGCGGTCGATCTCTTCCTCCAACTTTCCATCACTAGTAAATACAGTTCTGAGGTACTTGAACTTCTCCACCTGCTCCACTGGCTCCCCGTTAATCTAAAGAGAGTAACGGGCAGGAGAACGAGAAAGCAATAGGCTTTTCGTTCTAGAGGCGTTCACATGATCAGGTCGCACTCATTTGCGAACCTTTCTAGGAAGCACTGTAAATCAGTTTCACAAGATGCCAGTAAAACAACGTCGTCTGCAAATAGCAACCTTCTCTTCTTCACATCTCATACACCGATACACTCACCACCTTGGCTGCATATGATCGTTCTATAAATGTATAACACGAACAGGAGAGGGGACGGAACGCAGCCTTGACGGAGACCAGTGCCAACGTTGAAAGTTTTTGACTTAACACCGTTTACTCTGACGCAGCACCTGCTATCAGAATACAGTTATTGCATGGCCCTTAGCAGCAGGCCATCTATTCCCTATGCTCGCAGGCATGACCACAGACTGTTGCGTGGAATCTGGTCATGGGCATTTTCTAGGTCGACAAAACATGTACACCGGATGGACGTACTCCCACGATTTCTGAAGAATCTGGCTCAGGGGAAATATATGGTGAGAGGTGTTTCGACCGGACCGGAAGCCACACTGCTATTCTTGTACCTTGAGGTTAACTATTTCACGACACCTACTTTCTAGCACCTTTGCATAGACTTTACCTGGGAGGCTCAATAAAGTAATGCTTCTATAATTGAAGCATTCCTTATTGTCTCCCTTCTTAAATACGGATACAATAACTCCTGTTCTCCAGTCCGCTGGTGTCTTTCCCGCAGTCATCGCAGTTTGACGGACACCTGTTAGCCAGC